TTCGTGAGTAAGAAGTGAGGTTTTTACTCACGAAAGCTTATGCCCAAATAAATCTGTTAGTCTTTAAGGTGCCACCAGACTCCTTGTTCTCTTCTTATAGAGTTCTGGTGTAACTGTGCCTAGGCTATTGAGTTTATTTTTGGATACATCATTATAGAGAGATACTGATTTACAAAAGAAGATTCTAAGAGATATAATCTGAAATATTTTATGTCATTATAATGAGAAGGACCAACGCAAAGATGCAGGTCTTCCTAAAATGCAGACTAGTTATAAAAAAAACAAAGTTCAAACTAGTTTTCATGAGATACTCTGAAAGCAAAAGACACTAGGCAGAATGTGATTGAACACGCAGTATAGAATGCTAAATCTGATCTCAAATATATTATGAAGAGTTTGGCCAGTCCCACGGAATGTGGAATATTACAGTTTTCACATCAAGTTTTACCGCATCATATGATTTTTTTCTGACAGTGCTTGATTCAGTTGGTGTAATTTTGTGTGGAAAAAGTACACCTGTATGAAAACCATTGCTTTGGACTAATCTAGAAAAGCAATAATTGCAAGTTGAAAATGAAATCTTAACACAAGATTCTGTTGTGAAATAGAGTGTCAACTGTACCTTGATATAATCACGTGAGACCAATTGCTAATTGTAAAGTCATAGAATCCATCAAATTTATAATGACAAACAATAGTTAATATTGGTATTTTAGTGTGTGGGGTGTTTGGTGCTATGTCACCAAACCTGCTTTATCAAGTCAATGTTCATTATAGAGAACACCAAATACTATCCATCTACCCATTCCTTGATCAGAAAATGTAGAGAGCTGAACAGCCCAGGGCATACTCAGGAGAAACATACCAAAGAGTGTACTCAATTCACATCATGTTCTGTGTGTATGCTGTTTTTGTTTCATGTCCTATGCAGGCCTTAAGGGGAGTTTGGCACTGAATTTTGAAAAGGTGTCTCAGAAGACCAAAAGCCTGGAATACTATAGATGCCTGTGGGTTGTGTCTTAGAAAATAGTATAGTGATCTTTAGGTGCAGAAAAAATCAGTAGAAAACCACCACCTCATGGCTGATATAATATGAAGATTAACATTGCCTAGGGCATTCACAAGAAAGTGTTGGGTGATCAAAGATAGGCAATGAAGCAGAATAGTTTGCATTAAATTTCCATGTTACGATTAAATCACTACCTCTGCAACTATAATTGCAAATTTTATCATTTTTATGGCCTCTTGAACAGAAATGGATCTTTTCAGCCCCTTTCCTCTGTTCTCATTAGACATTTAATTAAAAAGTGTCCCCCCAATTTAACTGAGCATTGAAGGAAACACTCAGGTACACTTACTCCAAAACATAGTATCTTGCCTTCATATAGTGCTTCTATGAGTAAAGCACTAGCTAGCAGGAGTAGCTAATTAACTTCAGGTTCCCCCAAGATTGTATCTGAGGCTTAACTGAGTGACACCTGAAACACCAAACAGGCAGTTTCATTTTCTGAATAACTTTTGTGGGTGAAATTCAGCCATCTACAGAGCATCAGCCCAAGACTCATGAAGCATTCAAATGATTACAGGTTTAAGTGGGAATTAAATAGGACATAGACCTTGGATTAGCCCCATCTACACAAGGATGAATTTCACCCACAGAAGACATTTTGAAAATGAATTTAAATAGCCTGTTTCCTTTTTCAGGTTTTATTCCATTAAACTTCAGAACCAATCTCCCTTTATAGTGTTGTGGTGGAATATAATAATGCAAACACTTGAGAACTGCATGCTTTGTTAATCTCACCTCAGTCAGGAGTCAAATGATAGCACAGGGAATCCTGACACCAAAAACCAGTTTTGTTTGGTTAAAGGAAGGCCTTGCATAATAACTTTTTCACAGGAAACTCTTAAAACATTTTAGGATGGTTAGTCCTCAGAAAGAATTTGTTTTGCAAAGAGCTGTCTTCTTTTGGAAGAGGTGCAGCAAGGATCTGCCTCTCTCACCCCCCTCATTCCCCACTCCCCAATTTGAACTCTTGTCTATGTCTATATACAAGATGTAAGGTAGTGGGGAAATAGGGCTCTTATTTATAAGATTAATGACAAAATCAAATAATGTCATGTGGTACGGATAGAGTTTGGGTCATATTTTCTTCTGGTGTCACTCCACTGAAGTAGTTACACTGAAACCAGCAGAGAATTGGACTGTTTATCTCTCTATATAAAAAAATGCAGATATGCAATTAAAATTTTCATTAGATGGCTAACAGAGTGTTTTGGAGAGAGATAGTGTAGCAGTCTCGGACTTTTTTTCCCCTAAAGTGTTTACTAGTTTCTTGTCTCTTGTCCAAACCTCCTCCTTATAGGCAGAGCTGATAGTGTTGCCTAATACTTTCCATATTTTCAGTTTCTTATAACTTTCCCAGACTCTAACCATTCTGGCTGAAATGTCCCATACTAGGTGTCTGCCTCAGGCTGAATTTTGTTTGAAAAGTTTCAGCTAAAATAGTTCAGGTGCTCTCAAGAATGAAATTAGAAATGCCTATGTTAAATGCCCATGTTAAAAAATTCTTAGTCATTTCATTGAGAAGCTCTGGTATCCCTATTCTTTTGAGTAAGGTAGTTTAAATTTGGCTCGGGGCAGTCTTTGTGTCAGAGATGTAACTTTTGCTGTCCATGTGGAAATCCACTCAAATTTGGCCAAGTTTTAAGCCTTTGAAAAATCCCACCTTGCACATGCTCAGTAGAGACTTGTTAAAGTTTAGAAGTTAAGTTCTGTGAATATTTCCTCTGTACTTGGCATGGTCCAGCCTGAAGGTGTGGAGGGCTGAGCAGGACTTTCTCTGCAAATGTTGCTGTTGGCTGATGTGAGCCACTGTGACAAAGCATACTGTAACTGCATGCAGGGAGACTGTTTCCTGTGCTTTGCTGGTGACCAGACAGCATAGAGGAGAAAGAGGGAGTGACTTGACTGGAATATAGAGGGGGAAGTCTGTGAGGAGTGAGGTGTGGGGAGAGCATGGAGGTAGGAGATGAACGGGTTGCAAGATCTGGGATGGGGTAGCCAGTGGAGGTGGGGAGTGGGACAGGAGTTGGATAGGAGCAGAGGGAGAGGAGGAGATTGGGTGGCATATAGGTGCAGAGGGAGAGGAGAGCAGGAGCCAGGGAATGGAGTTGTGAAGGACCAGAGAAGGAGGGAGGCATGAGCTGGGGGAGTTGGATAGAAGAAGAAAGAGCGGGGGCAGGAGCCGAGGCGATGGGTGGTGGATAGAGCCAGAGGTGGTGGCGGGCAGGACCTGGGAGAGTTGGATAGGAGAAGAGGATGGAAGGTAGGAGCCTGGGATGGGGATGGATAGGAACAGGGGGAATGGGAGCAGGAGCTGGTCTGTGTGGGGGAGGGAGGGATGGGATGATGTATAGGAACAAAGTGGGGCTGGGACAGGACATACAGGAATGGGGGAGCAGAGACAGGTTTGGTGGGGAACATGGGCAGTAGAGTATATAACCACTAGAGCACGCTCTGTTCCAAAACTTGGAAATGAACCCAGGAGTCCTGAGTCTCTGCATTCATCTGCTGCCAGCAAATAGTCGTGAATCCACTGACAAAGCATGTATCTCATCCCTCTCTAGTGCCTGGGCTATGTAGAGTATCACAGCCTACTATTGCTACCAGTTACTTCATTAGCTCAAGTGGCGGAGATCTGTACTGTTGAGTGTCAGTATTGCTCTACATGATGGACTTTCTGTTTTTTTCTCAGTTTACTTTTTTCTAGGATTTATATTAATTCTGTAGCAGTTCTTTACCACTCCACATTCCCAGAGTTTTTCTGACATACAGTATCAATGATTCTGACACACAAAGCAGTTTTAGCCATGACAGGGCACAAAACAAAACATGTTATGTTATTTTTTATCTGCTTTCCCCTTCAACTCTCAGGATGAAATAAATGTTCAACAAATGGTAAGGGACAAAATTGCTGGGGGTGGGGGGAGGGAATGTTCTCATGTTTCCTGCAGACAATAGAGAGTGAAATAAAACCAAACAAAATATTTGATAGTGTCCATTGAATATGCATGAAAATAACTCACTTTTCATTTCCTATATACAAAAGGCTTACTAAGCTGTTTGTTTGCATAGATGGTTGAAGTTTGAAGAAGATGTAGAGGATGGTGGAGAGAGATGGAGCAAACCATACGTTGCCACTCTGTCACTTCATAGCTTGTTTGAGCTGAGAAGTTGTATCCTGAATGGTACAGTTCTACTGGACATGAGAGCTAATTCTTTAGAAGAAATTGCAGGTATACTGATGTTTTATACCAATAACCTATCATGAGAAATATTAATGTTGGAAACTAAAGTATGTATCACTTATCAGAGAGCTTTTGCATAAAAATCAGCTGTATGTAGAAATTTGTTCTATAAATATTTTACATGTATAAAAAATCTAAAATTGAAGTTGAGCAGTATTGTAGTAACATATTTTATAGCTAAGTTTGCATAAGTTGTAGGTGTTTAATCAGAGTGGATGTGTTCTTTACTCCACTTCTGCCACCACACATTCAAAATGATATATGTGCTAAGTTCCACGAATTAAAGCCATTTTTGAGATGGCTGATCACAAACAGACAAATCATCTTAAACATCTCTTAAAGCCTCAACAGTTTTCCACCATGCTGAAATAACACAAAACCAGCTGAATGGGCTTTTTTCCAAATTTACAAATATGCATCTTTGGCTTGAGAACAAGATAGAGAAATTTCAGGCGATAGTGTATATTTTCTAGGAAGTTGTAGATGCCTTAAAATAGGATCTTAGAATGAAACTGGCTTTTTAAATTATATAAAGGTTGCTCCCATCATGGTATAGGAAGCATCTGTAGGACGCAAAGTGTACTAGCACTTGCTCAATGGTATAATGTTTATGTGCAGCCTCACAGTAGACATTTCAGATTATAGACCTTAAACCCAATTCTCACTGTATTGATGCTCTTCATGGGGAGACACAGTCACAACTCTCATAACAGCTTTAGGGAGTTTCATTTACGATTCTCTTCTATACTGCTAGGAAAATTCAGCCCTCTGTAACTTCATAATGACATACCTCGTACATGAGCATGCTGAACTGGGTAAGAAGGGAATGGACTGGGAAGAAACTCAGAAATTGTACAATTCACATAAGTTTCACTTGGGGGGAAAGAGGAGAAAATTGAAGTTTTTTGAGTTTGAAAGACCACATTTTATACAAGTTAGGGCAATTCTAGATGGAATTTATTGGGGGATAAGTATGTAATGGTGACAATAGCAGGGGATCACAGGGGAAAACTAAAATATTCAAAAAATGTTAGATGTGTGTGAGTAGACAATAAAAGGCTAGGGTGACTCATGTACAGAGTGCAAAAAACAATAGGTTTAGAACAGAATGACCGAAGAATGGCCATGAAATATGTTGAGATTCAGAATTTTCCCCCCAACTTAATCTCTTGATGCTTGGGCTGGCAGAGGTTGGAACATCATGGAAAAAGCATGATCAGCTTTTGGAGCACCTCTTGTCACGTTTGTATGATTCCATCTGACTGATGCTTGGAGCAGAGGACTCTGCAAGATAGAATCATTGAAATTATACAGATCCAGAGGTCCAGCACCCTGCCACTGAAAAATTAAATAATAAAATATTCAGCAGTTATCAGCCAGATATGTGTACCTGTGACAGTTCTTGGGTTACCCAGGAGTCAGGACTGTGGGTCTCCTTGTTGCCCCCTGCCTCCTGGCACTGCCAGCATTCTTCTCTGGGCTAAAGCCAGCCCTTCTTTCACCAGGCAAGTTAACAAACCACAAACCCCAAGTTCTTTTGAATCATTGCCCTGTGATATCCAGCCCTGACATTGGTTCCTCACAGAATTTCCAGATCCTCTTCATCCAAAGGTGCAGTATGCTCCAGTTCACCAATTTTACCTTAAACCACTGCTCCTGTAAACCACACAGCACTTGTGGTTTACAGGAGTGGTGGAAACAATTGGTTGCAATAAAAAATGAAATCATAACATCAAACCTGGGTCTACACTTATCAATAGTTCTTATCCAGTAAAGTAGATCCCACCCCCAAAGCTCAGTCTGTTGCAGACCTGACTAGTTTCTCAAGAAGCAGGACCCAAATGTTCATGAAAGCACCCCCTCACCTGGGATTGAGAGTCTTGACAAGTGATGAGATTTCTGTAGATACTTTACACATTACTCTTTATGTATAACTATCCGGTGAAACATGTGTTTGGTGTGGTGAGTTTGTCACATTTGAGGTGAGAGCTGCTTGCAAAGAATAGGGGACCCATTGCCAAGGAGTCTGTGTCACAGAACCATCTCCCACCTCCATTTCTCCAAAACACTGTGCATTTCACCCTACTTCAGAGATGAGAGTCAGGGAGAAGGAATGGAGGCTTCAGCCCCCTCAAAAGAGAAAAATTAGAAACACAAAGCACCCATTATGAGAACAGTTACAGCGAAAGAATAGTGTAAAAAATTGAGAGAGCTTAAAACTTACATTAATTTGCTTGAGAGTTCAAAATGGGAGATGGTACGTGTAAGCAGAGTCTGAATGTATGCTTCCCTGACAGCTAGCTGGGAGGGGAAGAGACTATGAGTGTGTTTATGTAAATGCAGTTTGCTCCTGCTCTGTTTACATATTCATCATTTATAGTTGTATCAAAGGATCAACTTTGGCTAGTGTTGGGTACAAATGACCTTAGTACTGAATGCAGGGGTAGTGAAATATGGTTACCAATGTTGTAATTATTGTAGGAATACAGGAAAGCGGGACTGTGCTTAACCTGTCCCAAATGAGGGGAGGCACCCTCAGTTGAAAGAACCTCATTAAGGAGGGGGTCAAATGTCAGAGCCCTGCAAAAGTAAGCGGGGTGGAGACAGAAGTTCTGGTGTTCTGGTCAGGAGGCTGCACAACCTTCACCCCTCCCACCCCCCCCCCCCGGGGTTCTCTCTAGACTGGCTTAACCTGTTCTTCCCCACTGTTTATTTTAATTGCTCAATCAGAGCTGAAACCCATTGTGGTAGGACTGTTTCTGCCCTGCCTGCTAGGAGCTAATATCACTGAGAACTGATTTCAGAGTAGCAGCCGTGTTAGTCTGTATCCGCAAAAAGAAGAACAGGAGTACTTGTGGCACCTTAGAGACTAACAAATTTAAATTTGTTAG